ACCATCACCCCTAAACCCACCACTCGTGGCACTGGGACCCCAGTTTCACAGACCACCTCTTCCACCATCCACAGCCCACCTCAGACTCGCTTCACTACACTCTCTGCACCCACGGTTTCTACCTCCTCATCCTCACACAGCACTGGTCCCCCCTCAGGAACATCCTTCAAGACCACCTTTCCAACAGCTACACACCCCGAGACCATACTATCTACTTGGGTGCCACCATTTTCAACCTCCTCAGGGACGCCAACTTCTCACAGAGTTGTCACCCCAACCAAAGAAGTCACCGGCCCTTCCACATCTACCCCAAGGCCAAGTGGCCCTCTGCCCACCACTGCCACCCCACACACAATCCCCACACACTCAAGTCCACCACCAACCAAGACCACCAGTAGCACTAGAACTCCACTGTTCTCCATCAGCACCAGGAAAACCACTAGTTCCTTTGTGTCACGCTCTCCTTCAACAGCACCTCCCATAACCGTGACATACTCTCATACCACCATCACCCCTCAACCAACCAGTAGTGGCACTGGGACCCCAGTTGCACAGACTACCTCGTCCACCACCCACAGCCAGCCTCATACTCCCTTCACTACACTCTCTGCACCCACGGTTTCCAACTCCTCAACTTCACACAGCACCAGTCCCCCCTCAGGAACTTCCTTCAAGACCACCTTTCCAACACCAACACACCCTGAGACCACACTATCCACTAGGGTGCCACCATTTTCAACCTCCTCGGTGACACCAACCTCTCACAGACTTGTCACCCCAACCAAAGAAGTCACCTGGCCCACCACCTCCTCCCCCAGGCCAAGTGGCCCTCTGCCCACCACTGCCACCCCACACACAGGCACAGGGCCCACACCTTCAAGCCCACCACTGACTAAGACCACCAGTAGCACTGGAACTCTTCTCACCTCCGTCAGCACCAGGAAAACCACTAGTTCCCTGGTGTCACGCTCTCCCTCAACAGCACCTCCCGCAACCGTGACACACTCTCTCACCACCATCATCCCTAAACCCACCACTAGTGGCACTGGGACCCCGGTTGCACAGACCACCTCGTCCGCCACCCACATCCAACCTCAGACTCACTTCACCACGCTCTCTGCACCCACAGTTTCTACCTCCTCATCACACAGCACAGGTTCTCCCGCAGGAACACCCTTCAAGACCACTTTTCCAACACCAACACACCCTGAGACCACACTTTCCACTCAGGTCCCTCTATTTTCAACCTCCTCAGTGACGCCAACATCTCACAGATTTGTCACCTCAACCAAGGAAGGCACCAGCTCTTCCTTTTCTACACAAATCCCAAGTGTTTCTCTGCCCACCACCTCTGCCACACACCCGGGCACAGGGCCAATACCCTCAAACCCACCACTGCCCACGACTACCAGGGGGACCATTCCCCTTCCCAGCTCCATCAGCACAGCCAAGTTCACCAGTTCCCATGGCAGCCATCCATCATCCCCCCTTCCACCAGGCTCAACGATGACCCATCATTCCTCATCTGTTACATCTCTACCAACCTTGTCCCAAAGTCCTTTCTCTACCTCTGCTCCTCAGCCCAGTCTCTCTTTCTCTTCCACCTCAGTAGTTACGGTAGCGATGACCACTTCTTCCATTTCCTCTCCTATCTCCTCATCCCTCTCTTCCCCCTGGACCAGTTCGATGTCCAGTCACTCATCAGCTTCTCCATTTTCCACCACGCAGCCCCCCATACACCCTAGCTCAACCTCTCAAACCTCATTTTCTCCTGGACATGAGGGTGTACCCAATACTACAACTTCCTTTCCTCATTCGTCACATGCCACCACTTCCTTTAGGCCCTCCGTGTCAGCTCCTTTCCCCTCCACTCCGCTTCCCTCCAGTCTGTCCCCAAGTCCAACCCTGCATGTATCCCCCTCCCTTCATCCCTCTACCTCCAGGACCACCTCCAGGGCTTCATCTTTGTTCCCCCTTTCCTCCCAGTCCACATCTGTGTCCACCTCTCTCACCATGTCCACTCCCACATCTGGGTTCATTTCCTCCACTCTGGGGTTGACACCCTTCCCAAGCTCTTCAGTCACAACGCTCACCACCAGCCAGCACAGCCCCACGGGAGTGCTGACCACCATGGTCCCAAGCAGCCCCAGGACTACACTCGGGAGTTCCTCCACCCCTGTTCCATCGTCCTCCGCCCATGGACCCACCTCCTCTCCTGTGACGTCTCTGCCCAACTCCAGTGGTAAGTTGTTTTCTTTTAGCCCATATTCTGGGCAGGGCTCACTGCCATATACTCTCTTGCTAGCCTCTCTGGGCCTCCATGACAGTGGTCCACTTCATGTCCTGCTGTCAGCCCTATCTTAGTGTGTTGTGCTCACTTCCACCCCATGTCCACCCCAGTGGCAGCCTCTGTCCCACCTGATCCTGTGGTGTTCCTGTCCCTAGTGCCCCCCCCCCCCATATGACAGATGGCTCTCTTACCACAGGTCCTGTCTACTGCCACAGCGTCCTGTCTTCCTAGGGCTTCAGGGTACAGCCTGGCCTATGCTCAGGCCAAGCACACACAGCCTGGTCCAAGTCTCTGCTGTGCCCTTGGCCAGCGTGTCATTTAGGCATGCCAACTCCTGGTCTGTAACCCTTAGTGTCTGCAGCTGTGCCCTGGGGGTGACTCCTTCTTGGGGCATCTGGGATGGGCAGCACCTGTCAGGCATGGAGTGGCTGTCCATGTGACTGACACCTCCCCCATGGCCCCATCTCTCTGGCCTTTCCTTTGCCACTGTGCTATGACATCCCCAAAGCCATGTTGTAGGCCTTCTCCGTCGCACCTACAGTTCCTTCTCTTTTCTTGTCTCTTGGGCACCCGTGGTGCAGAGTCCTGGCCATGATGGTGTACAGCTGCCTGCTGACAGGCCCCTCTGCCTACTTTTGGGTCTGCTGCTGCTGTTCCCCCTGGCTCCCTGGGCCCCACTTCACCTCTTCATCCACATGGCAGTCCAGCCACTCCAAGGGGTGGCTCTAGTGACACTTCTCTCCAGCTATCCTCTTGACTGCCCCACTGGGTATCAGCAGCAGGACTGGCAGATACTGGGGTTCCACTAGTCCAATTCCTCTCAGGATACAGAACGGGAAATGAAAGCCTGTGGTACCAGTGACTCACTCCAGGTGACACACTGCAAGCCCAGCCAGGACAGAGGCCAGGGAGCCCGGTGCTGCCAGGAGTGCCTGCTCTGTCCTGCTCTCCTGCCCCTGCCACGTGGCTCACAGCCCTCACCACTCAGGCTCGTCCCCTTGGCCCAGTGACCCAGCCTCCCTGCTCACACTGAGAGGTTTGGAGTCACAAGTTAGACTGTGTTCCAGCCCTTGCAGTGGTCAGATGCTGGGGTCTCAGCTGCCACTCCTCTCCCCTGTGGCTGCCGCCTGACCACCTACCTCTCGGACCGTAGGGGTCTGCAGCGTGAGGGAGTATGAGGAGGAGGTCACATACAAGGGCTGCACAGCAAACGTGACCATGACCCGCTGTGAGGGCACCTGTACCTCCTCTGCCAGGTCAGTGCTTATCCTGGATGTGGGTGTTTCCCGGCCAGGCGAGTATGCCATGGTGGCCTCCCTGGCCAAGTGAGCCACCCATCCCAGCCATGGCAGCCTCCTGCACCAGAACCCAGCTTTGGGAGTGGAAGTGTCCCGCGCTCTGCACAGCAGAGAGTATCTTGCAGGGCAAGGCAGCGGACAGGCCCCAGACCACATATCTGGTTGGGCTCTATCACCCAGGAAGCCAATGAACAAAAAGGGGCCCCAGTGGGGGCTCTCAGTAGGTACACCTGCCCCCCACAGGCAGGAGTGTCGGGGCAGCACTCAGGACCCACCTCCTCTGGGAACTTCCTGGGAACAGGGGCGAAAGCCACTCGGGGCCCCCCCCTGCCCTGGCGCCCGCACCCCGGCCCTGCCACCCCTGCCCCCTGCCTTGGCCCTGACACCCCTGCCCCCTGCCTTGGCCCTGACACCCCTGTCCCCCTGTCCCACCACCCCTGCCCCCTGCCTTGGCCCTGACACCCCTGCCCCCTGCCTTGGCCCTGACACCCCTGTCCCCCTGTCCCACCACCCCTGCCCCCTGCCCCCTGCCCCGGCCCTGACGCCCCTCCTGTGGTTCCTCTGCAGCTTCAACATCGACACCAAGCAGGTGGATGTGCACTGCAGCTGCTGCCACCCCCTGGGGTCCTATGAGAAGCAGCTGATGCTACCCTGCTCAGACCCCCAAGCACCCGGGGGCCAGCTGGTACTCACCCTGCTGGTCTTCAGTGGTTGTGAATGCAGCCGCCAGGCCTGTGGAGGCTAGCAGGGCCTCCATCCACGCTCCAGGCTCAGAGGGCTGCAGCCTACTCCCAGGCACCTGTTCCCAACACCACCCTCAGGCTTGTTTCACCTACAACTCCTCTCCTGACTTCTCAGACCCCCAAAGAGTCTGGGCCATGGCTCCCCGCCGAAGCAGCCCCCAGAGCCTGCAGGAACCAGAGCGCGGTGTGAGAGGCCCTGACCATGGACTCTGCTCAACCGTGCAGAGGTGACCCAAGGCATCTGCCCACACTCCCGACCTTCAGATGTGGCCAGCCCAGCCCTGCAGGCAGTAGGAAGCAGTGGGGAGGGAGGTGGGGGCATGGCAGGATGCACATGGCACCTCTGTGGAGTGCACCTGTGAAGGGTTGCAGTAAGGCAAGAGGCACAGGTAAGCACCAAAGACCAGAGAGGCGCCCCCAACCAGGGAATGTCAAGGACAGCATGGACCCAGATGGCAGCTTCCAGCCTCCCGAGTGGCTTCCAGCCCCCACCTCTTCCTAGCCAATGCCCACCCAGCACATTCTCAGGAGGGCTCCAGCACCAGCCCATGTTGTGTTTTCAGGGTTGTGTGTGTGAACTAAGACACAGAACGAAGCCCCCCTGACACACATCCAATAAAGGAGTCAGTTATGTCCAAGCAGAGAAGGCTCTTGGTGAACTCTTGCCTCTGTCGCCACCCACAGCCCTGTGACTCTCCCAGCCCTCACACTGGCACTGCAGCCACCACACGCCCAGTCTGTCTGCAGCATCCCAGGCAGCCCATCCCAGGTCCCTCTCTTCCATGGCAACTCAGTGGCTGGTGCCCAGTGACCACACCTGTTGGCCATGTGCACCCAGTGCCCTGGGCCCACCGGGCACTGCAGGGGTGGGCAAGCCAATGGTCACAGGGTTCACTCCCTGTCAACATCAGAGCATTAAAAGCATTTGGTAGTTGAGTGGCCAACACAAGGCCCATCACTCTGAGATGTACCCAGGTTCCGTGGTCTGTGAGCTCGGTGGCACTGGCCCTGAAAGCTGGGCAGACCCACCCTGTTTGCTATCATCAGAGTTGGGTCACTGGCACATGCAGGGACCTTGCATTCATGTTCCTGTTTCTTCTCCAGAGACTACACGGGTGTCTGTGTTACTGTCCCAGGGTTGACATCCCTTCAGGGAGGATGCCACACTGACAAGCTCACGTGTTTGTGACACGAAGGCAGAACTGGACACAGGTGGAGGGCACCCACCAGGGTGGCCGGCATTCACTTGGAGGGTGGGAGGAGTAACCCATGCACTGCCATGCCCCTTGGTGTGCAGACAGGCAGGCTATCCAGTACAGCACAGCCATGCAACGTTGAGGCGAGCATGAGGCCCACTAGCCATGGCATTGCCACCAAGCCACCAGTGGGCCCTGGCACAGACTACAGGGGGAGAGGTTCTTCCCCATGGGCACCTGGACAGCGTGGCAGATAGGGGCCACTGTAGCACACACACTCTTTCCCAATGCTGGGTCTCCCACGGTTCTCTGAGGCATCACTGCTGGCACAGATGAGACCTGGCCTGAGCAAGGGACTGCCTGCCTACAGGCTGGACACGTGGCCCTAGACCCTGAGAAACAGGATGCACACACCTCACAGAGGCCCCTGCTCAGCTGCTTCTCAATCGGCAGCATGACAGAGGGCTGCTGGGGACACACCTGCCACCCACGGAGCCACTCCTGGATGTTACCTCAGTGGGCCATGGTGGGCATCCTCAGCCTCTAAACCCTGCTCACACCTTTGTCTATCTCAGTGAACTAACGTATGTGCCTGGGAGCCCAGCACCAGGGATGCACATGAGGGCTATGCCGTCCGCTGGCTATGGGCCTTGTGAGCATCTCACACAGCCCTCGAATGCGCAGTGTGGGCCAAGAAGCGAGCAGGCCCCCACAGCACTGCCGCTGACAGCTGCACTAAGCGACTCTGGCCTCTGCCAGACTGAGGGACACACAGGACCCCTTGGGAGCCTCTCTCTGCTGCCTTCGTGTGGTCACCACCCACGGCAGGCAGGTGAGTGCCTGTCGACCCCAAAGAAGGCATGGCCTCAGGAACCCCCCATCCCGAGCTCCCCCTCCAGCTTGTGAACATGACACACACCCCTTTCAGAACAATGGTATTGGGAAGAAGCTAGGATACACGTTTTTGCCAATAGAGTCATGAAAAACGCATTCTAATTTTCAGATTTTAAAACCTGCCCAGGCAGGCTGCCCATGGATGGTGGCTACAACAGCTGCTCCAGCTGAGGTCAAGGACTAGGCACCACATGATACCTTCCGTGCCTCCTGGCACACCCAGCCCATGGCACTCAGCCTGTGGCCCTCAGCCACACTCCTGGCAACTGCAGTCAGCCCCCCTAAACAGACATGTCCAGGCTGAGATCTAACCTCCCACCTGCAAACACACCATTCCTTGGGGACGAGAGCGCTGATGACTAGACAAAGCAGCAGCTCTGTCAAACTCAAGAAATTCCAGTCCCAGTCACATTGACTCCCTTTAATGTGTGGCCTCAGCCAGGGTTGTGTCCTGCTTTCTGCACGGGGAAGCCTGGATGCACGACGGCCCTGTGTGTGGCACTGTGCTCGGCGGCTCTCAGCCCAGATGCACACCTGTCCTTCTGCTCGAAGTGCATGAAGGTCTGGAGAGGGGCGGGCAGTGCCAGCACTGGTCACCCAGATGGGTGATGGCTGGCAGGCTGGTAACGGGGACGACAGTCAGGAGGGGCCACAGGGATGAGCTGCCTGCACAGCACTAGAATTGCTCGGACAGCAGCTCACATAGCCGCTGGGAGACAGTGTCCTTGCTGGTCCGCACGGTGAGCCGGTACATCTGGAAAAGAGTGCAGGCCAGTCAGGGCGTGGCCTCTTAAAAACACCCTGACCTCCTCTGAGCCGCCCCTCCTTACAGAACGTGAGCACCTAACGGGCTCTAGCACTGAAGTGAAAATTTCCAACAGGGACTGGGCCAGGAGGGGCAATGGCACAGGCACTACTGTGGGAAAGAGAGCAGGGTAGCTGGGAGGGGTGGGGCCCAGGTGCCTGGCTTGGGGTGGCGGCGGGAGACAGGACAGCCTCCATGGAGCCTGGCTGCTGGGGGAGAGTCGAGGCCTGAGGCAGGGTGGCAGGGAGGGGTAGGATCCAGGTACCTAGCTTCCGGGGGAGAGAGTCAGGGCAAGAGGTGGGGCAGCCCCCATGGAGGCTGGTGGGGAGGATGGGCCAGCAGCCTAGCATAACGGGCCATCCACACCTTGCATCATTGGAAAGAGTGGGATAGATGCACCCACAGGTGGTCACAAACCATGGGAGGCCTGGACAGCCCTTGGGACATCCCTAAAAAAGGGCATGGAGAGGACAGACCCCGGCCACAGCAGCAGCTTGAGGGGTGTCACAAATAAAGCAGGCCACTGAACAAAGCATGCCAATTACCAGAGCAAGCCCATGGAACAGGCACATGACTCCTCAGCAAGTGGCCATCGATGGTCACTACCAACAGCACAGAGGGCAAAGCACTCTGCATGGCAGGGGTGCGGGCTGCACACCAAGCCCTCCTGCTGCCTTGCACATCACCAGCACTGCGCTCAGCAGTGCCTTGCACGGCCTGACCCGCACACCACTGGCACCGTGACGGGCCCGGCGTGCACTGAGGAGCACCTTGCACAGCCTCACCCGCACACCACTGGCACCGTGACGGGCCCG